ATCTGATGATGTTCCGGCGGCAGGGGCTGGATGGCGGCCTCGTCCTTCGCCTCCGTTCGCTGCAGCTGGCCCAGGGGAAGGGTGCCCAGCGATTCAGACCCATTTGGGTGGCTGCAGAAAGGGGGGAGGAAAAAAATCCAGAGTTGGTCCAGCCTGGCCTCTGTTTGCCAGACGCTGGGAAGGGCGAGAGGGGATGGATCACGTGACGATTCCCACGGTGGCAGACAGGGACACTGGACGAGATGGACCTTTGGTCTCACCCAGTGTGGCCGCTCTTATGTTCTGACCCGGGGGGAGACGCTGCTCAGCAAGGCAGGATTTGTCCGCCCCCGTCTCCCTCTGCCCCCCGCCCGCCTGCTCCCACTGACCAAAGAATTGTTCCTTCTCCTAATTAATAAATTAACGTCGCTCGCGCATGTCATTGCAAAGGAACCTCCAACACCACACACACCCCTTGGGCGCTGGCCCCTCGACTCCCTTCACCCGCTACTGCAATGCGGCCACCTCTGGGCTGGGACATGGCCGCTGCTGAACAGCAGCCAGCCACGCCGCACAGCTTAGGAAGTGGAAGAAGGGGGCTGGATCTGGGGAGGATGGCCAGGCAAAGTCTGCCCAGTTCCCTCCCCCCTCCCACAACCCACCCCTTCGCACGAGCTTGCACACTGCACTGCCATTTGCACCTGTGTCCGTGGGACAGGCGCTTGTGCAAAGGAGCCTGCAGGATGAAACGCTCCCCCTCGGAATAGCCGCCCCTCCCCTCCTTGGACTCCCGCTCTCCTGGCTCCCGAGAGCAGGCCAGGCCACAGCCCATCCCCGCGGCGGCAGGTACCTGTGCTGCAGCAGCAGGGCTCTCAGGGTCTCCTCTCTGTCCTGTGGCTGGAGCTGCCCTTCCAGGATCATTCGGTCTATCAGCTGATTGGTGATGCCTGCCAGGAACTTCTCAGGCAGGTCCAGAAGGACAGTGCCTGGTGGGGGGAAGGGCAGAGGTCACTGGGCCTGGAGTCCTCCCTCCCCACTCAAGCCATGAGTCACCCAGGCCATGGGACTCCCCTTCTCCATCTCACAGATGCCTCTCCTCCGCTCTGCTCCCTCCGCCTCTGCTCCTGCCCCGGGAGGTGCGATGCCTGGGTGCCTCTGGTAGCACTTTGCCCCGGCGTGGGGAGGCGAGTACGTGATGACAGAGGTGTGAGGGAGCAGCAGCATCTGCTCCCACCTTCCTTGATTCGGTTCTCTTCTTTCACTCCATAGTCTCTGTCTTTCCTTCCTGGTCCCCACTCCTCTCCCACCTGCCAAATCGTTGTTTCTAGCCTACCCCTGCAACATGATCCACCCACATGCTTCAGGGCACAAGCTGACAATTGGCTGGTGAGGGTCAGGAAGGAATTTCCCAGCTTATTCTGCATTTGTCTGTGACTGGAATCCTGGAAGCTGCTGTCGATGGTGTGACAGCGAGTCAGGGTTCCTCCGATCCATAGCAGCAAGAACAGACTCCGCCAGCCAGTAGAATAGAGGAGGGTTTATTGCTTCTCCAGGATACAGCACAGCATAGACGGGATGTGTCTACAGGAGTCTGGGCCAGGATGCCTCAGCCCCCTTGAGATGGGGTCCCTGGGCCCCTAGATTCCAGCCTCCTCCTTAGTCTGTTTCCTCCATGGTTCCACCCCGAGACTGCCTCGCTCCCAGACCCTGTCCCCAAACCAGATGTTCGTCTCCGCCTCCCTCCCTTTGTCTCTCCCCTGGGGACAGAACCTTGTTATCAGGTGTGTGGGCTAATACAGGCGGAGGTGAGTCAGTGGAAATCACACATCACAGGGCAGGGGGACACCGGGTTACAGAGCAGACAGCCCCCCCGCTATGTCACAGATGGCCCCTGGGGGAGGCAGGATGTTGGGCTTGTTGGCCAATCGGGTGCCACGCTTCCCATCAGCAGGGCCAAGCTGACTGGCTTCTCCAGTGAGCCTCACTTACAGGTATCGCCCAGATGCTGCCAGATGTGGCTCTCTCTTCCTTGGTCTCCCCTGCCCCGTTCCCTTGTCCCTGGCTCTTTATTTCCTTCCTTGCTGGCTCGTGGTCGGTTTCTCCGTCTCCTCCCCCGCCCCAGGCTGTGGCTGCTGACCGCTCCTCGCCTCACCTTTGGTGAAGGCCCTGCGCACCTCCAGCAGGCTGCGGAACGTCAGGTACGTGAGGTGCGGCCTCCCCCAGTGCCCCGCCTCCTCAAAGTCCTCCTCCAGCTTGATCCAGTGGCCGGCCTCCATCCACCGCAGCTCGTTGTTCCTGTCCATGACCAGTTCCTGTAGCTCCACGTATGCCTGGGGAGAGAAGAGGGGCAGGACGCAGGCGCTGGAGAGCAGGCTGGGCTCCAAAGAGGTGGCCCCAACCTCGCCATAACCCAGCGGTGATGAGGGCGAGTGGGGTGACGGATGCCTGCCTGAGTGTGCCGGGAGCCTGAGCCAGTAGCGCTGCGAGGGAGGATGGCAGGCTTACTTCTGGCTCCGCCCACCTCTCAAGCTCCGCCCACGCAAACTCTGGGCTCTGCAGCCGGGATGTCCCACCCGCTTCCTTGAGCTTGGCTCCTTGCTCGTGGGACTCAGCCTCGGCCCACGTGGCTGACAGTTTCCGAGGGTTGCTCACGCATGCAGTGTGGCTCAGGTAGCCCACTCCCTCCTTCCTGCCCCGCCGGGACCGTGACACCCCAAAGAACTCCCTGTCCAATACCAGGGGCTGACAGAGTCCTCCTAGTTCTGGCAGCCTTGGGCAGATTTGGGGTCCCACACTCTGGCCTCCACTTAACCCCTGCTCTGCTCTGAGCGACAGGCGCCTTCCCAAAGGGGAGTCAGATGCCTGATTCCTATGCTGTGGGGTTGGGTGCCTTCAGGCAATTTTATCCAGGGAATACAGTGATCCATCTCCCTTCCCCCCCGCTGTAGGAACTCAGGGGTCCCATGCACCCCTCAGCAGCAGCAGGGTCGAGCTGGAAGGGTGTGGGGAAGGGAGGTTAGCACCATATGAGCATGGACCCAATAGTAACGCGTCCTCTAAAGGAAGAGACAAGTGTCCAAACTCTCTAATGCCCTGTCCAGCTGGTGCCCAACACCCCACCAGACTCCGGGAGGTGATCCATTTCCCTAAACTCCAGTGCACCTCTCACCCCAGAGTCCAGAGCAAATCAGCTCCAGGAACCTGACACCTTCTGGGCTCATGGTATTGTTCCAGGGTATCGATTCATCTGCAAAGGGAGGCTGGGCTTGAAATTCTGAGCGAGCTGGACCAATGGAGAGCCCACAGGGATACCAGATAAGCATGGCTAACGATTGTGGCTTTGGGGGAAACGTGATCCGTCTGCCTGGCAGCCAGCCCGGATCTGTCTAGGAGCCAGAGGCCAACGCTAAGCAAAGTTGCAAGAAATTCCCTTAGTTGACTGTCATGGTCATGGAGTAACTTCCCCAGGACTCTTCCCAATCCCCATGTGATTCTGGGCCAGATTTTCAAATCAGCTGAGCATAGGTGCATGCTGGGTGCTGAGAACTTTATAAACTCTGGCTCTCAGGTATGTCTAGACTGCATCCCTCTGTCGACAGAGGGATGCAAATCAGGCACTTCGAAATTTCTAAGGAAGCAGGGATTTAAATATCCCGTGCTTCATTAGCATAAACATGGCCACCACTTTTTTTTCGAAACGGAGTTTGTTTTTTTTTTAAAAAGGCAGTCTAGACATGGATCTGTCAAAAATAAACCCTTTTTCGACAGCTCCTGTATTCCTCAAAAAATGTCGACAGAGAGGCGTAGGCTAGACACACCCTCATCGAGGTGCCTCTATGGGGGCGGAGCTCTTTGGAAAGTCCAGCCCTGAGCTCTTTGGAAAATCAGGCTTTAACAGCCGGCTCCGACCCGAAGCAGGAGCACTGGCACCCTTTCTCCGCCATACGGGGACAGTGCATGCTCGCGTTATCCACAGACATGGCTGAGCCCTTTGGAATTCCTGCCTCAGTGACATCTGGTGGTGGTCAGTTCCCCAGGCCACTTTTAGGCCTGGGGCAAACAAGCATGTCCTTGAATGAATGTAAAAGGTGATGCCTTTCAGCCTCATCAGAAGGTAGAGTGAGGAGTTAGGCTAAAGTGCTGGAACTAGAGGGGAAGTGGTTCCCTTCATAAACAGGGGTTACAGTTTGGTTCAGAGGCACCCCCACTACATAGATTGCTCCTGTGCTGCTGATACTAGATAGGGACACATGGTGGGGAGAAAGATCCGCTGCTTGTTTCAGCGTGAGCGACAGGAACAGACAGGATTGAAGTATGAGGAAGGCTCTGCAGGGAGGAGTCCCCCAATCCTGTGGTATCATCTCTCCTTTCTACCCCATCTTCCCCCTCCCCAGAGTCTGATGTGATGCTCCCGCTAATTTTTTTCCATTGGGGTGTGTGGAATCAATTTTGTTCTGTGCACTGAAACATGTGTGGATGTGCACCACCAGTAGAAACACAATGGCCCACGAAAGCTCATCACCTAATAAACCATCTTGTTAGTCTTTAAAGTGCTACGTAGTCCTGTTTTTTGTTTCAGTTAGACTAGACTAACACGGCTACATCTCTATTACTATTCTACAAGCTGCCAGCTGAGAGTGCGCTGCTAATCAGATGAGCAGCATTGGAATCACTCCTGGCTGGCCGCCCCAGCGTTCAGCTTACAGGGAACTCTGGTCTGATGCAAACTCTCTGGACCTGAACGGCAGCTGGGGTAACTGAGTGTAGCCCCATTGACTTCAGTGGAGCTGCACCAGCTGAAAATCAAGCTGTGTCCTTCTGTGGCCACTAGGAGGTGCTCTGACCCCTCTGCTGCAGGCTAGGACCCAGAGCAGGGGGCTCCCCATTGAAAGCAAGAGTCCTGCACAGTGGGGATTACTGGTCTGCTCCCTGCATGCTTCCTGCTAGCTACCCACAGCAGCAGGCTGTCCCCAGATGGCGTCACCCAGTGGCCGTTGTTCTTTGGCTCCCTCTCTCAGACCCTTCCCTGGGGGGCTGGGGAATTCGATGTGATTTCATACTGGGCTGGGCGGAATAGAAAGGGGATTTTTTTGCAGCTGGATCGAGACAGGCCCTGTGGTTCCTTCTGGCTTCCCAGCTCCCAGCCTGGGCTGCCCAGTGTCCATGCAGCGGGTGTTTCTAAGGCCCAGCCTGGCCTGAGGACCACACTCCGGGAAGGGATAGCGAGGTGCCCTAAATCCAGGGGGGAGCCTCCCAAAGCTGCTCAGAACTGGCCCAGAAATGGAAGGAGAACAAGGTGAGACAAAGGGGTGAAAACTCCCCCTGCTCCGACCCGGTTCACCTGCCCCTCCAGCACCCTCCAGCGCTGGCAGAGCGCTGCCCCGCTGGCTGGGGCATTAGCAAAGTGATGCCCCTTTCCAAGGAGGGCATGAGCCCTCGGAGCAAACCCGGCTCCGGCAGCGTGTCAGGACAGGCGGGCTCGGTGCTACCTGCACCCGCCCGGCCCGGCTGCCTCCAGCGCCATGCGCACAGGGGCAGTTCAGACCAGTCTGAAGTTGCCTCCATAACTGGAAGCAGACTATCCCAGCTGCCCAGGAAACAAGGTCTTTGAACGGTCATTAAGCGGCTGAGTGATGGCTGGGAAAACAGCTGTCCCAGAACTGCATTGGGTGTGTTTATAAAACAAACAAGGGCTACTGCCTAGGACTCCTTCCTGCTCTGCCTGTTCCCCAGGGAGGGTCTCCTTCCTGCTCTGCCTGTTCCCCAGGGAGGTGTCCCCATGCTGTGCCTGTTCCCCAGGGAAGGTTCCCTCTGCTCTGCCTGTTACCCATGGAGGGTCCCCTTGATGCTCCACCTGTTCCCCAGGCATAGTCTCCTTCCTGCTTCGCCTGTTCCCCAGGGAGGGTCTCCTTCCTGCTCTGCCTGTTCCCCAGGGAGGTGTCCCCATGCCGTGCCTGTTCCCCAGGGAAGGTTCCCTCTGCTCTGCCTGTTACCCACGGAGGGTCTCCTTGATGCCTGCCTGTTCCCCAGGCATAGTCTCCTTCCTGCTCCCCCAGGGAGGGACTCCTTCTTCCCCGGCCTGTTCCCAAGGAAGGTTTCCCTTGCGCCATGTGTTCCCCAGGGAAGGTCTCCCCCTTCCCCATCTGTTCCCCAGGGAGGATCTCCCACCTGTGCCACCTGGTCCTCTGGTAGGTCCTGGGGATCTTTCTCCCTGGCTCCCAGAGCATCCTTCCCACTGTGTTAGGATAAGAGCAGGGTCTAACCTCTCCCTGAGGGCCTGACTGGGCCATGGCCCTGTGCCAGCAAGGAGTAGCCCTGCACAGGATCCCAGCGGGGCAGGTCGCTCACCTCATGTGTCCTCCGGCTCGAGGTGGATGGGCGAGCGGCCCCCACGTTCCCTGACACCTCCTGGCTCAGGTCCAAAGAGCCGTAACCTGAGTATGAAACAACCTGATTGTTAGCCCTCTCCCTGAGGGCCTGACTGGGCCATGGCCCTGTGCCAGCAAGGAGTAGCCCTGCACAGGATCCCAGCGGGGCAGGTCGCTCACCTCATGTGTCCTCCGGCTCGAGGTGGATGGGCGAGCGGCCCCCACGTTCCCTGACACCTCCTGGCTCAGGTCCAAAGAGCCGTAACCTGAGTATGAAACAACCTGATTGTTAGCCAGGCCCCAAAACCACTTGCCCAGCCAGCTCCCCCCTCCCGCCTCGGCCCTCCCAGGGGCTATTCTGCCC